GACCGATTGCCTAAGTGTGATTTACGATCTCCAAAGGCGTTTCCCCAAGCTTTTGTTGAATCGCTATTGGAAGACTTTAAACAGTTTCCGTGCGATTTCGGAAAAATTTTATTAGAAAGATCGCTTCAGAATAATAATATCCTGCAACCGTATAATGCTCTGATGCGAAAGGTCCAGGACACCTGTATTGGTAAATAAAAAAAGAAACGATAGGGTGGATCTACCTTTGCCAGCACAGTATATCTTACAGCTCACTGAATGTATAAAGGGAACCAATAGAAATATAACAGCTGATAATTGGTTCTCATCTTATGAACAAACCGAAGCATTCCTTGAAAGAAAACTTACATTTGTGGGTACTTTGAGGAAAAATAAAATTCAGATACCCCTTGCCATGCTGTATCCAGCTCCAGTCGGGTCTTCAAAATTCATGTACCAAGATGACAAAACATTGGTTTCTTTCACTCCGAAGAAAAACCAAAAAGTTATTACTGAAAACTCCAATCAACCAGAAATCGTCCAGTTTTATAATTTAACTAAAGACGTTCTGAACATGCTTTGCCACCCCAATACGACAAAGAGAAAATGTCGAAGATGGCCGATGAGATATTTTTATGGGATCCTAGATATTGCTGCCGTGAATAGTTTTGTTATTTACAAATGGAACACAAAACTAGATATCTTCTCTAATAACGTGACAACCTCATTTCTCAAAAAGCTTTGCCTTGCGTTGACGAAACCCCAAATGGAGAAACCATCGTCTTCCAAAAGAACTTCGTACGTCAATAAGCAAGCTTTTAGGCAATGAATTACAAAAAGTTGCTATGCCAGTGCAAACCCTTAAAAAAAGATTTGATTTTTGTGATAAATCACAAGATAGAAAGTGAAACGTTTTGTGCGAAATGTAACCGTTGCCTTTGCGGAAGTCATAAAATTGTTTTATGTCCTAATTGTAATTCCGATGATAAATTGATGTAATAGGTATTCTTTACTCTCCTATTATAAGATTAATTTAGTTTTTTTAAATCTTTGATTTCGTTAACTAATTACTTATATTTTCCTCTCTTTTTACGTGTAGTACGTTATTATTTTTATCTCTAAAAAGATTGTTTTGTTTTTTCCTTTTTAAGAGAAATAGTTGAAAAATACTGTTATTTTTTATGCTCACGATATAATCCACTTATTAATAAATACTGTGTTTCTGGGGCAGGGTCGGATTCGACCCCACCTTGCTATTTATGTCACAAAAATCCATCTTACCGTTTGAGGGTTAAAAAAAAGAGAATCAACGATTTAGAAATTGGAGCACCGCCAGCAAGCAGAGCATTGTTACTATTTCAGATAACGGCTACATAAAATCCGAATTGTTCGTTACCTGGTTGAAACATTTTGAACATCACGTCAATTGTAGCAATAACAAGAAGGTACTTTTATTACAAGATGGAGATACCACGCAGTAGAAATTTGGATGCATGTTGTTTCGCTCGAGATAACGGAATAATATTATAAAGGTGTGTCTAGATATTGCGCGGCGTTCGTCGGATTCAATTCTGTCGCGCACAATATATGGACATAGCAGCAAGTTCGACGAACACGAATACAATCCAAATAGGGTAATATTTGGACGCACCTTTACAGTTGCTTGGACACACTACTCATCGTTTGCAACCTTTAGACATTGCTTGCTTTGGGCCATTACAACTATATTTTATTCAGGCACAAGAAACTTTTCTTGGTCAATGTAAAGGGGACAAAATAAGCAAAATGCAGATTTGTAAATTGCTGAATGAAGCATATGAAAAAGCAGCTACAGTTGCAACTGCTGAGAATGCTTTTCGTGTCTTTGGTATTAGGCCTGTTAATCGACATGTCTTTCAAGATAGCCTACTTGCACCCATTTTAGCAAGTGACAGTGAAGGCGATAACATTGTTGTTGATGTTTGTCAAACTAGAACAAAAGAAAATTTTGAGAACGTTCTCTATGAAGTGTCACCGCCTCCAAAACTGAATCCACTGCCAGGACCATCACTTTCTCGAGCTAGAGGAATTGCCCAGAAAGCTGCATTAATAACCAGCAAGAAAAATCTTTAAAATTGCAGCAAAACAAGAAAAAACAAACAAAATTTGGAACAAAACAACAAAAGAGACAAACTAAGACAACATGGTTTTGTTTTATGTGTGAGGAAGAAAAAGCAGCAGTTTAAGTTTAACACATCTTTCGTTATTACTAATGTTATAAGTATAAAATGATGAAATACCTAAATTTGACATTTTCGACATCAAAAATGATTTTACTTGAAAAATTTAAGATGACTGAGAGAATCTTTATAGACAAAAACCTTTTTAAATCATCCCACGAATGTATATCATTAATAATATTCGCGTATTATTTATTATTACCAACCCAAGATTCAAAAACAATTAATAAAGCCCCAATTTTGATATCAAAAAGGATTATATCTCAAAAATTAAAAATGATTGAAAGAATCTTTTAAGACAAAAAACTTTCTAAATCATCCCACGAATACGAATCATTAATAATATTCGCGAATTATTTATTATTACCAACCCAAGAATCAAAAACAGTTAAAAACCCAAATTTGACATTTTCGACATCAAAAAGGATTTTATTTCAAAAATTAAAAATGATTGAGAGAATCTTTTTAGACAAAAAACTTTATAAAACATCCCACGAATGTATATCATTAATAATATTCGCGTATTATTTATTATTAACAACCCAAGATGCAAAAACAATTAAAACCCCAAATTTGATATCAAAAAGGATTATATCTCAAAAATTAAAAATGATTGAAAGAATCTTTTAAATCAAAAAACTGTGTAAATCATCCCACGAATGCGAATCATTAATAATATTCGCGAATTATTTATTATTACCAACCCAAGATTCAAAAACAGTTAAAAACCCCAAATTTGATATTTTCGACATCAAAAAGGATTTTATCTCAAAAATTAAAAATGATTGAGAAAATCTTTTTTTGTAGACAAAAAACTTTATAAAACATCCCACGAATGTATATCATTAATAATATTCGCGTATTATTTATTATTAACAACCCAAAATGCAAAAACCATTAAAACCCCAATTTTGATATCAAAAAGGATTATATCTCAAAAATTAAAAATGATTGAAAGAATCTTTTAAGACAAAAAAATTTCTAAATCATCCCACGAATATGAATCATTAATAATATTCGCGAATTATTTATTATTACCAACCCAAGAATCAAAAATAGTTAAAAACCCAAATGTGAAATTTTCGACATCAAAAAGGATTTTATCTCAAAAATTAAAATGATCGAGAGAATCTTTTTAGACAAAAAACTTTATAAGACATCCCACGAATGTATATCATTAATAATATTCGCGTATTATTTATTATTATCAACCCAAGATGCAAAAACAATTAATAAAACCTCAATTTTGATATCAAAAAGGATTATATCTTAAAAATTAAAAATGATTGGAAGAATCTTTTAAGACAAAAAACTTTCTAAATCATATCACGAATACGAATCATTAATAATATTCGCGAATTATTTATTATTACCAACCCAAGATTCAAAAATAGTTAAAAACCCAAATTTGACATTTTCGACATAAAAAAGGGGATTTTATCTCAAAAATTAAAAATGATTGAGAGAATCTTTATAGACAAAAAACTTTATAAAACATCCCATAAATATATATTATTAATAATATTCGCGTATTATTTATTATTACCAACGCAAGATGTAAAAACTATTAAAACCACAATTTTGATATCAAAAAGGATTATATCTCGAAAATTAAAAATTATTGAAAGAATCTTTTAAGACGGAAAACTTTTTAAATCATCCCACGAATATGTATCATTAATAATATTCGCGAATTATTTATTATTACCAACCCAAGATTCAAAAATAGTTAAAAACCCAAATTTGACATTTTCGACATCAAAAAAGGATTTTATCTCAAATATTAAGAATTATTGAGAGAATCTTTTTAGACAAAAAACTTTTTAAATCATCCCACGAATGTATACCATTAATAATATTCGCGTATTATTTTTTCATACCAACCCAAGATGTAAAAATAATTAAAACCCAAAATTTGATATCAAAAAGGATTATATCTCAAAAATTAAAAATGATTGAAATAATCTTTTAAATCAAAAAACTTTCTAAATCATCCCATGAATGCATATCATTAACAATATTCGCGTATTATTTATTATTACCAATCTAAGATTTAAAAACAGTTAAAAACCCCAAATTTGACATTTTGGACATAAAAAAGGATTTTATCTCCAAAATTAAAAATGATTAGAGAATCTTTTTAGACAAAAAACTTTATAAAACATCCCACGAATGTATATCATTAATAATATTAGCGTATAATTTATTATTACCAACCCAAGATGCAAAAACAATTAATAAAACCCCAATTTTGATATCAAAAAGGATTATATCTCAAAAATTAAAAATGATTGAAAGAATCTTTTAAGACGGAAAACTTTTTAAATCATCCCACGAATATGTATCATTAATAATAATCGCGAATTATTTAATATTATCTACCCAAGATTTAAAAAAAGCTAAAAACCTCAAATTTAACACTTTCATCATCAACATCGATTATAACTCAAAAACTAAATATGCTAAAAGCAGACATGATCCGGTGCATCAAATGTCACAAAATGTGCTGAAGTTGTATTATGTAATGGTCCAACCTGAGAAACTGATTGCCTTGATTTGACCAAAAACATACATTTTTTAAATGTATTTTTTTGCATTTTAAATTATATTTTTAATATTAATAAATATGCTAACATGTAGGCATTACTTGTACTTTTTATGTCGCATAAAATTAAAAAACGTTAAAATGGTCCATCTTAGGCTACTCTCCCCTATAAATCAAGGACGGTAGAACTAACATTAGACCTTGAAGTAGACACAAGAGACGTGCAGCTAAATCCGAATGTTTCTAGTGTTAGTTCTAGTTTTAATTGTTATTTAGCATTTTTTATTAAACTAGAACAAACACTAGACCTACAACTAGAAACATTCTGGTTTACCCATCTTAAGAGGCACACAGCTAAACTCAAATGTTTCTAGTTCTAGATCTAGTGTTACTTCTAATGCTATTGTTAGTTTCGCCTTTAGTTGTTATTCAGCATTAGATTGTTGTATATTTTACACTATTTTGACACTAGACCTAGAACTAGAAAGTTGGTGGTTTAGCCATGCATCTTCAGACGCATATTAATCCGTTATATCTAGCTTTTACTGCACATAAAAGAACTCATTTAAATGCCTTAAAATTGGGTAACTTAAAAAAAAATTAATAACATTTTCCTAAAACATCTTCAAAGAATTTTTTTTTCTACAATTTTTTGAATTAAACTTCTTTTTCTAATCTTTCATTGTGTCTTTTTCGAACCCCGGGGTTTTATCGCCTCCGATTTCGCCCACATCTCATCCTCTGAGATGTGGTCGTCGAAATTTTGGAAGAAGTCGATTATCTTTTCATTCTTTTTGAACGGATAAGAACTAAAAAAAACACTTTTAACATTTTAAACCACCCAAAATATAAATTATTTACCATTTTTTAAACCTCTTCATATTCTCGACTATGTGATATTGTTGCCACCTTTTTGAGAAGTTAATTAAACCGTTTGAAAGTAAATTCGTATTTCCTATATGAACAAATGTTAAATCTTGAAGAACTAATCCACTACAAAAAAAATTATGATGTTATAAATATAATTAAAATTATTTTTGACTTACATATATGGTATACAAGGTGGTTGAGCATCAGCTAAAGCCATTCGGTAAGCTCGAAAACTTGATGAGCTATCAATGAGGGCACAATACTCTTTTAATCCCTCCTGAATTTGTTTTTGCCATTCCAATCGACGAATTGGTGCCGAATCCAACGCCGATAATAACGCAAGATACGAATTAAAGTTATTAATTTTTCTTAAATGTTTCATTATTTTAATAAATTTAATGCAATATTTTTCGCGATCTTTCGCATCAGCTAAAAGTACTTTGGTTCGAGCCCAATAAGAAACTTTATTAAAATGTTCCGTAAATCTTGTTAAATTCGGCGATCGCTCTTCGTTTTGTTCTTCAGCCCAAATTAACACTTCGGGTATTTCAATTTTCACAAACAACTCCGCATCCAAAAACGTCATTTGTTCGGCGATTTGTTCCGATTTGAAATCTAATAAACTCGCTTGTGGCGTTTTTGTTGTTATCTCGACAACGGGGGGACGTTGGCTTAACACTTTGCAATCGTGTTTATCGAGGTGCTTTACCCTTAAAGCTTTGGCTAACGTTATTTCGCCGTATGATATTAATAATTGTACGAAATCCATTAACATTTGTTGTACGTTTTTATCTAAATCTAATGGCCTAAAAGGGTGTTTATTTTAAATTACGTTTAGATGGGAAATATAAGAAAAACTTACGTTAAATCACTTACTACACGTATTAATAAAGCAAAAGCTTCCTTTTTCTTTTCAGGCTTTTTATCCGGTTGTGGATAAAAATACTTAAATCGGCGTAAAAGTTTTGCTATTAAATTAGATGGCGCAATAAACGTTCTGTATGTTGTTAAAAATGCTTCTTGGTATGTAAAAACTGAAAAGATATTAAAAATAAATTAAAAATTTATTTTTAATTAAATTAACATGGTTAGATGTAGAATTGATTGAATATACCGGGTGTTTAAAAATTGTGTTCGGATATTTCGCCCACTTATTATAGTTCTCATCAAGATAAATAAAAAAGTCTTAGTAAACCTAAGTCCTAAAAGCAGTGGTTTCGAAGATATAAACAACTCCAGAGTTATTAGGGAATGAAGCGTCTTGGTCTTTAAATGTTTATTTAATTGGGGAAAATACAAATAGAACATAAAAACTCAACACAAAATACTTAAAGTAAATCTCTAAGTACATGATCTTCCTCCATTTGAAGACATGCTTGACATAATAATAATAATAAACTGTTTATTGAGATAGAAATAATGATAACAACAAACAAGATACAAAATTATGATAAGAATGATAAGAACAATACTCAAGTTTTGAAAATAGATTGCACAGGATCTGATAAAACAAAATTCAGCTTAACCGACTGAACCCTATTTGATAGATATATTGCATGAACATCCAATCCAATAAACTTCAAAATGCACAACAGGAGACTATGATCAAGGATGTCAAAGGCCTTAGTGAAATCATGTAAAATTAATACTGTGGATTTACCCTGGTCCAGAGACCTGAGTACATCATCAGTCAAATCCAGGAGCGCAGCAGCACAACTGAACTGTCTCCTGAAACGGGACTGCTTAAGAGGCAAAATGCAATGTGCTTCCAGATAAATATTTAACTGCTCTAGATCTTTCTAAGATCTTTAAAAGAATCGGCAGAATTGTAATGGGCCTCAGATCCTTACAACCAGTGATAGGAACAACTTTGATAATGGGAACAACACCATACTTCCAGCAGTCCGGAAACACTGACTTGAATCAAACAAAAATTGAAAAGATGGACAAGCACGTCAAGAATACGGGGACAAAACAGTCGAATCATATCTAGGCTGATTTCATCAGATCCAACTCCCGTAGACCTTAGGTTCAATAAAATCTGCTGGATACACTCAGTAGAGACCTCACTAAATGCAAACATGGACGAAGCAGGACGCATCCTATTATTATTATAGAAAGCAAGAAGATCAATATCAGGAGTAATCAAGGAGTCATTTACACTATTACTAAAAAATGTATTGATAACATTAGGATCTGACAAATGAGGAGGCAAATAGCAGAAGATTTCAACACGTTAAACCTTAAACTGATCATGTTTACAAAGCAATTCCTTTTAATACCCTTACTTATGAAGCTAAACATATTTTTCCAAAATTTGGTATTGTTTTCTTGCCTTCTCTAATAACAACACTATTCTTAATTTACTCTCTAATTACCATGAGAAACGAGATTCTATGAGAGAATGTGGAGTTTATTCTATTGATTATTCGGATTGTGACTCATTATATATAGGGCAAACAGGAAGAAAACTTGAAACTAGATTGGGAGAACATAGAAGTCAAACTAATTCAAATGTTTATAAACATAGATTGGAGACAGGTCACAATATTGATTACGATGGGGCGAAAATCTTACATAAGTGTCAAAAAGGATATAAAATGGATTTGTTGGAAATGTTCGAAATTTATAAGTATAATAATAGAGATGACATAACATTGCTTAACGAACAAATACAGATATACTACAAGACACTTTTTACTTTTTTAAAAAGATTTTAATAATAATACATTAATTTATACATTAAATTTGACCGTAAGTTTTGCCATTTATGTATTTTTATTTTTGTTTTATGTTTTTCAATTTTCTTTAACTCATTTTGATGCTATTTTTCGTGCTAATACAAGAAATCTTTGTAATTTCATGTACAGTTTTCAACTGATGATGAGAGAACACTCTCGAAACTAGTTTTAAAATAAAATACTACAAGCAAGAGTGAAGTAAACTTTTTATTTTATTTTCCACAAACACTTAGAGTCACCGACGATTAAATCTTTTTCAAAAAATGTCTTTTTTTCCCGCCGAATAGCATCCGTGACGTAATTTCGTCGAGTCTATAATATTGAAAACTCTGCTGACTCCTAATCCTTTTATACTTAACAAATGCCTCATTCCTTAGTTTAATCATCTGTCTGACATTCCAAGTGATCCATGGAAAAGCTCGCTTTCTGATTACCTTAGTAATCACAGGTGCATGAATCATCAAATCAGTTTGTCATCAATTGTATTAAGATCAAGGACAGCCTCCCAATTCATAAATTGCAGATCCTCATTAAAGGCATGAACGTCAATACCAGGGAGATCACGAAAACTAATAACTCTAGCCTTAGACTTAGTACTCATTGATATCGCTAACTCATAAAACACTAACAAGTGATCCGAGAACCCAACATCGACAGTGTCACAAACACGAAGAGGCAACTCCTTTGATATAATAATAACATCAATGAGTGTTTAAAAAAAACAAACTGGCTTAAACTAAAAGTATTTAGAATTGAAAGTAAACAATCAGTAGAGGGGCCAGGCACCATGAGGTTAATATTAAAGTTACCCAAAATTAATACTCTATCCATGGCAACATAAATCTCCGACAATGACTCCTCAAACGAACGAAGAATCAAATTAATATCAAAAGAAGGAGGCCTATAGACAACTCCAACTGCAAAATTGAAGCCATTGACCCGAACCTCAACCCAAAGCTGTTCCACTCCAGGAACATGCACAGCATCAATACGTCGCCATTCAACGAAACTCCGTATATATAGACAAACTCCACCGCCCCTAGATGACCTGTCCGATCTAACCAGGTGATAATTATTGATACAAACAACAGATGCCTAAATATCCGAATTTAACCAAGTTTCAGAGATAGCAAAAACATCATATTCAAACCGAAGTACATTATCCCTGAAATCATCAAAGTGCGCAAGCAGGGACCTCACATTCAAAAGACCCACACGAAAAGTATCCATAAAGTGTACAGACAGAAGTACCAACCTAACAGCACAGCCAAATAGTCAACAAAATACAAAACTCTTTAAAAATTAAAAAAAAAAAAATACAAGTAAACAAGAATTTCAGATGAGAATGAGCAAAACAAAAATAAATATAAATATATAAACAAAAAAGTAAATGACAAGTTACAAATTATATGACGATTTTAAATGATAATTGAACAAAAGTATCTATGTATATATAAGTAACACAATAGGTATTATTAAACACACTGAAAACCCTAAGCAGAAAACAGAAACTTCTCGCTAACGTGAAAACAAAATACTGAAATAAATAATAGCGCTTAATAACATCTTCCTACAAAAGAATTGAGCACTCTTTCGAAGACTTTAGGAGATTGGCGAATAGTCTCACATGCGTTTTGTATTCTTTGTTGGAGATCCTCCAAGTTATTAACAGGTGCTGAATCCACTAATGATTTTAAGTAACCCCACGCAAAAAGTCTAGAGGTTTTAAATAAGGTGATCTAGGTGGCCAAACTATTAAACCTCCTCTCCGTATCCATCTACCATAAAATTCAGTATTAAGAAAATAACGAACAATGATCGGAAAATGCGCAGGCGCGCCATCATGCATAAACCATATTTGCAACCTATCCTGGAGAGGTACATCTTTGAATAATATCGGCAAAGTGTTTCGCAGAAAGTCCAAATAAGTTTCAGCAGTTAAGCGATTAGGAAGAATCGTTATACCAAGCCAAACATTTACAGAAAACTTATATTGGCTTCTTGATTGCACAACAGCGTGAGGATTTTCATCCGTCCAAAAGTGATTGTTGTGAAAATTCAAAATTCCGTTTTTTGTAAAAGCAGCTTCGTCACTGACGTATAACTATAGCTACCGTATAAAATACTACTGTGAAATATTGGATTTTGTGCAAGCTTCTGCAACATCATTCCAAAGAATGCTCATCTCGAAACGTAGTCAGCAGCGACTACTTCTTGCATTCGTTGAACATGGTAAGGATAATAATAATAATAATAAGTTTATTGAATATGCATCAAAACGTATAATATTCTCGTCAAATAAAAGTCGTAATAATAATGACAATATTTATTAGTTTATTTTCATCGCTGCAAAGTATTCGTCTATGGAGTAGAATTCCTTTTCTAAGAGCATATTCTTGACCTTTCTCTTAAAACTCTTCATATTCAATGTTTTCAAATGGGGTAACAATTCATTGTATAACATAATAGATATATAGTTGAAATTTTTTTTGTGATCTTGTTGTTTTGTGATATGGAAGTTTGATGTCATCTGTTTGTCCGGTGCAGTAGGGGTGAGACTCTGTAATTGTGGTTAGTGAATCCCTGTTTTTGTGTATATAATCTAGGCACGTAAGTATATATGAGGATGGTAATGTCGATATTTTTAGAGTTTTAAAATGACCTCTACAATTCTGATTTTGTTTTAGACCTACTAGTGTTCTTATCGCTTTCTTTTGTAGTTTGAAAACTTCTTTTAGGTCAGTGGAAGCACCCGATATTACTATGCCATATACCGCCATGCTGTGGAAGTA